GGTTATTGAAGAATGGAAGTCGATTCCTAAAGAAATATATTGAAAACTTATTAATTCAATGCCTTCTCGAATCTATGTAGTTATTTCTGCTAAAGGAGGTCATACTAAATATTAAATATATTTACTATAGCAAATAAATATAAATAAATATCAAATAAAAATTATTCAATATTTATTTCACCCCTGTATTTATAAATCAATTTAAGAATACGTGGTCTAAGATCTCGATGGTGGATTAATGTATATTTATTGGGAATTATTTTGATAGCAGCGTCTATAATTGATTTTGTAGAAGGTCCCAATAGTGGTTCAGATGGTATACAGTATGTATACTGTCTAACGACATGTTATGAAGTCTGGTGTTTTTTCATCAATGATCAATTGAGATCCCAAAGGCAGACCAGTCACCTTCAGACATCTCGTCATATCGAAATACTAATTTTTTAATTGCAGCATATTGGGTGAAGGAAGGATTAATGGATGTTAATAAAATGGTAGCATATACGATAGCATGATCTGATAAATCTTTGTCGACTTTTTCTACTGTTTGGTCAATAAGGTCGGGGATTAGTGAAGAGTGCATAAAAATGTGATCTATCATAGAATGTCCAGTATTAGTTTCGAAAGTGATGATATCATCATTTTGTTTTTGGTTTTTGATGAGGTCTAAATTGTTAGTCATGTGGAGATTATCCAACGAGGTAAAGAAATCATTTGAGTGCGAGGGATTGGAGGTTCGTGATGGATCTGTGTTAAAGTCTCCTAGGATAATTGTAAGGAAATCTTTTTGATGTGCCTCATTTATTAGATCTAGAGCTTTTTTATAGATTTTGATTCGTAAATTTTTATCTGAACTGGAAAAAATCTATCGAATATATGCGATGGAGTGATAAAAAGCATGATCGGCTAGGTGTCTTTTGATGAGAAAGCTAACTCTGAACCCATACTTTATGTGGAGGGGTCAGAGTGAAAAAAGGGAACAAAATTATTTGAACAAATGGCTTTAGGGAGAGTATGTGAGATGAAGTATTGAAATTTGTTTCTTGTAAGGCGATGACGTCTAAATTGTAAAGAGAGTATAAGTTAAAAAGGATTTTTGTTTGTGTGGTAGCATAAAAGAACGAGTGTTATAGGTGGCGATATTTATGGTAAGGGGCGCCATTTTTTTTTCAGTGGTTGTAATATCATAATTATTTAAAGAATAGTTCTGAGGTGGGAACCTCTGTGTCATCTTCTAAAGCGACGACTGTACTGGATATGTTGAGTTGAGGAATTGGGATAATATGTGCTGGATGTGTGTCATCTAGGATCATATGTTAGATATTAGATACTGCTTTGAGGGTGATATTGAGTTTTTCAATTGTGTCATTATTGTGTTTGCGTAGTTCTTCAGTTTCAGCATGCAGAATTGCGATGTGTTTTTCTTGTTCTGCGACTTTGGATTCTGATGTATCAACTTCCAGTTCGTAGACAGTGTCTGTATCCATAACGCCTTCAGCTTTAGCTGCTTCGTTAAGTGCAGCAGCTTTCTTTAGTGTAATTGTGAAGATGTTCAGATGCCTTTCCACTTAGTCGAGACGGTGCATCGAAAAAGCAAGATCATTGTGGATAGTTGCAAGGGTTGCAGTGATTGCGTCCAATTGATTTAATATTTTTTGTGTGTCCGTTAATTCGTGTGTAGGTGTTTTAGGTTATCGGTAGGATGCGTCAGTTTTATCTATTTGTTCTGATCACGATTTCTTCGCGTAATCAATTCATCAAGCAAGGATTTATTCTTTGGTAGTTTAGGTTCATTAGGTCATGTCAAAGGAGTTTTAACTGGAGGTTTGGCATCCTTAGTTCTATTAGCAAATGAGCGTGGGTTTTTTAGATTGAACATTGTCTCTTGATCATGAATGAAAGTAACCTTTGGAGAAGACGCAGGTGCAGAGTAATTTTTAAACTGCGCAGGCTTGTAGCGTTGGTAGAGATTTTGTGTCTGTCTATCTTTGGGAGTTAGACGTTTCCGTCTACAATTTTGTGAGTCGTGCCCAAGAATAGAATAATGTGCACATAAATTAGTATCCAGAGCAGTCCAGATAAGTTTCCTGTTGTCAAATTCAATAGGATCTCCGTTTTTAGCTGTTTCGAGATCATTTTTGTTATTGAAATGCATAAATGCGTATTGGAGATTTCTGTAATTCAATCGCGCTTTGGAAATCACCCACGTGATCACGTTAACTGCTTTTCTGATAGGTTTTAATTCTCTACCAGTGGTGTCTTTGGGGAGATTTGTTAATTTCAAAGTATATTGGGAGCAAGCCTTGATTTCATCATTTGTGAGAGAGCAGACGTGTACTCTGACCATATCTTTCTAAACGAATAGGCCAGCGTGAGAATTAAAAAAGGACAAGTCTGTCTTGGCTGCATACGAAATAGTTGCTTGTTGCTAAAGATTTTTCGTCATCATCATACATTTGACGATCATACCGAATCTGGCGAACGTAAATCAGATGATCTGTTCTGATGTTGAGATTGGAATTTCAGTGACCTTGATCGACAGATTAGGGTCAAATTTGAATAAAGCAGGTGTAATGAGGGGTATAAACGTGACAGTTTCCATATTGGAAACTTTTGCAGCCATAGCACGGTTGGCGTCATCTTGAGTTGTAAAGCCTAAACAGACTATTTTCAACGTTTTGTTTGTTAGGTTAGGTTTGATAGATGCACCAATAAACGATGGGAATGCTGTGCCATTGAAGAGCTTGCAGGCTTTGTTGGTCTTTTCTCTGAAGGATTTGCCAGGAAAAAAGTTTCTGCGGCGCAGTAGATGTAGAAAGTAGTCGCGTCTCAGACTCTTTCAAAGGTAATGGTGTTCCTGCCAGCATCTTTAGTGTTTAATAGGTTTTCTGAAGTGTCGTACGCTTGGTCTACATCCATTTTATTATCAGCCCTGGGGCTAATGTTTTACTATCCTTTGGTTGGAAAGTGGGAGAAGGATAGGTGGTGGTTATTTCTGATGTAATGTGTTCTTTGGGAAACTAGACAGTTATATCGTTTGTAATATCTATTGTATTTTTGTTTTTATTTCTATTTTTTATTTCTGCAAGTTCTGTTTCTGCTTGCTAGTCTACGCTCATATCACCAGCTGAAAAAATGTTGGTAGTGGTTACGACGTTAACAGTCTAGCTGAAGTTTCTGGTGTTTGGTAAGACCTGCCAGTCATAGTTTTCTTCTGGAGAGGTTCATCTTTATTTTTTGTTAGAGAGTCTGGGCGAGTACGCAAGTTGCGGTTATTGTTTTGTGAAAGTTTTTGATTTTTTTCTTTTCCCATTTTTTGGTTTTTGGAGAGAGAGGGGAAAAGTTTTTCGATATGATATGCAAAAATGATCTGCGAGGCTAAAAAGGATGATTGACTTTGTGTCATATTAAAATGATTTGCAGTACTGTAGCTAAATTAGATAATTAAATGATTTACATGTCTTATTTCC